GAGTCCAGAATGACTTAGAAAAATTGGAGGTCTGGGCCAAAAGAAATCGGAGGTTCAACAAGGACAAGTGCAGAATCATGCACTTGGGACAGAAGAATCCCAAACACTGTTACAGTGGGGACCGACTGGCTAGGCAGCAATTCAGCGGAAAAGGACTAGGGATGAGAGTGGATGAGAAACTGGATATGAGGCAACAGGTGCCCTTGTAACCAAGAAAGTTAATGCCATATTGGGGAGCAACAGTAGGAACATTGCCAGGAGATCTAGGGATGTGGTTATTCCCCTTTATTCAGCACTAGTGAGGCCTCATCTGGAGTACTGTGTACAATTCTGGAGCCCGTTACAGAGAGGATGTGGATGCAATGATGGAAGTCCAGAGGAAGGCAACAAAACTGATTGGGGGGCTGAAGCACATGATTTAGGAGAAGAGGGTGAGGAATCTGGGCTTATTTAATCTGCAGAAGAGAAGAGTGAGGGGGGATTTGATAGCACCCTTTGACTACCTGAACGGGGGTTCTAAAGAGGATGGAGAGAGGCTGTTCTCAGGGTGGCAGAACGAGGAGCAATGGTCTCAAGTTGCAGTGGGGAAGGTCTAGGTTAGATATTAGGAAAAACTAAGTACGGGAATGGGTTCCCTAGAGAGGCGGTGGAATCTCCACCTCAGAGGCTTTTAAATCCCAGCTTGACAAGGCCCTGGCTGGGATGATTTAGTTGGGATTGGTCCTGCTTTTAGCAGGGGATTGGACCTGATGGCCTCCCGAGGCCTCTTCCAACCCTAGGATTCTATGATTTTGAACCTGGGGTAGTCAGGGTCCATGGACCAATAGCTCGGTCCCTATGTAAGATCCTGACCTGGCTTCAGAGCTGTCCCATCCATAGAGAAGTACAGGGTGTCTGCCCTGGACCCTGTGCTTTGGTGGGTCACCTAGGGGACTATCCAAGGCTTCTAGTGTTGCCAGTAGGGGTCAGGCCTGGCCTCGTACTCCTCAGCAGGAGCCACAGGAAGTGGACTGACCCAGACCCAGCCTGCTCCACTCTGCCATCTCCCAGCCAGGTCGCTCGGCTTCTCTAAGTGGCAGCAGGAAGCACAGCGACCTGGTTACAGACAACTGCACTCCCACAGTGAGTGTGGGCTGGGCCTGATTTCTGTTGCCAGTGCCAGGACCCCAAGTAATCCCTCAGGTTATGTTGCTTGGGGTGCAATGGGAGTGGAATGGGGCAGGCTGGGGTGGGGCAGGACTCAGGGGAAGGATGGGAATGACAATGGGATGGGGCACAGCAGGGGCAAGAGGTAGGAATATAAGCAACTAGTCACTCTCCCCCTTGCTGTCTCTATCAAAGAGGCAGCAAGGGGGTGGGAGGAAGAGGAGAGGGTGCTGGGGGAAGCTGACTTAAAAGCTGGTTCCCCCTGCTCCAGCTCTGTGGGATGGGACAAGGGCTCAGTGGCAGCGTTCCAACTTTGAAATGTACAAGAGTCCCCGCTGGGGCTCACATACATTTCAAAAGTGGAACGCTACGCTAGTCCTTATCGACCAATCAAACAGTCTATGGAAATCCCATCGACTATTTGATTAGTTAATCGAAACTAACATCCCTAGCAGGAAGGAGCGGGGCATGAGGCAAAGGGGAGTTGTCCTGGTCCCTGCCCCCTCCAAGGGCTGGCCCTGCTCACCTTGGCTCCTGGCTTCTCACATGTTTCCTGGCTTTTAGTTTGTCCCTTGCCTCTCTCTCCACATCAGGACTGGCTCTAGGTTTTTTGCCGCCCCAAGCAAAAAAAGTTTTGGCTGCCCCCCCCTTTTTTTGTCTGGGGAGATTGCGCGCGCAAATGCAGTTTGTGTGGCTTGCGGGGGGTGCGCGCGCAAATGTAGCTTGTGCAGCTTCCTGGGGGGTAGGGTGTGTGCTCCGGGGGCAATCCAAACCCCGGGGCACTTTCATCTCCTAGGAGAGTGCCAGGGACTCCCCACGAGAGGACAATGGGAGGGCAGGTTCATCCACAGAAAGTCGGTTAAAGACTTCCAAAGCAGGCAGTTGTTCACATCACCTAGTGCTGGAGTCCTGGTCCCACTCATCACTCTGCAAAGCGATTTAATTATTAGAAGCCTTATAATCAGACTCCAACCCCAACACATAAGCTGTCCAACTCTTGGTGTCCATGGACAAGAATCAGCCTCATTATACAATGAGACTGTTCAAAGGGTTTAAGAGAACTTTTGTTTCAACTCCCCAGCTCAACTGTCCAAAACAAGACAGGCACCAGACAACAAAACCCCACTAGCCTATGACCTATTCCATGAGCACAGGCCTATGCTTTCTCCTTCAGGGATGGACCAAACAGCCTCTGAAGCAGGGTGGCTTGATTTAAATAGCTTTGATTTAAATCTCTAATTTTAATAATGATTTAAACCGGCAAGCAGAAAATCTTGGTTTAAATGAGCAATTAATCTTATTAATTAGCAACCTTTAAAACATGTTGATTTACAACTAAATATTACCTTTTTGCCAAATTTGGTGCTTCTATTTACTAACCAGGAGAATACACCCAGTACAGCTAACAACTAAATAAATGCCCAAATAATTGTGTAATTTACATGTAATCAGATTCTTAATTTTTACATTGCTATTCTATTACAAATGGTATATAATAGGAACATGTAGGCAGGTTTTACCCCATTTATTATTTGCTAAGTGGTGGCTACTTTTTAAAAAACATGATTTGCACCTACTTCTGTCTGGATGGAAATTCAATTTAAAAATGAACAAAACCAGCATTTAATTTTTGTATGAAATAAAACTACCTTAAATGTGAAGGACACATAAAAAAGTATCCAAACACATTTTGCATCTAAAATTCATTTATTAAACAAAGGAAATATCCTTAGTGAATTTTACAGATCGAATCTAGTCATCATATTCTTCGAGCTGTTAGAACGCTTTCATAACCAGTTTTTTACTGAGAGAAGAGGGAAAACAATTTTTTTCTGCTTCGTCAACTCTCGGTTTTGCAACGGTGAATGAACTAATCATTGAACTGAACTAGCTGAATAAACCAAAGTGATAAAAACATTCTCTCTTCACCTGCAGAAGAAGCTATTGCTGATGTAAACATTGGTTCTGGGTGCTACACAGCAACTTACACTAGTGAACTGGTAGAATTTCTTTAAAAGTTGACAGGAGACATGTTCTATTTAATTTTTAAAATTACTTCATAAGTTATTTAAATAGGTTATGATAAATTTAGGCCATAATACTTGTAATGTACTTTTAAAGGTATATTATTTAAAACAAAGCCTATTTAAATGGGATCACAATTCCAATTTTAATAAAGCTCTCCAGCCCCAGACAGGAAGGGATTTGGGGCTATGGGCACTGGGAACACCAGAGTTCTCCTTTCTCAGCCAAAGGGGGAGGGAAAATCACTTGGGTCCCAGGAAGGGGTGAGGTGGTCAGGACACAGCACAAGGGGATTGGGCTCGTGGTGGGGTGGGGGAGGAAGGGTTCATGGTGGGGCAGAGGGAGAAGGGCAGGGAGAGAAGGGCCCCGAGAGTGGGGTGATGGTGGGGGAATGTTTAGAGGGACAGACAGGAGAAGGGGAAGAAGAGGCCGCTGGGCTCAGCCCCAGCCGCAGCTGCCCCGTGCCGCCCTCCAGGAAGCGCCCCAGCAGGGGCCAGGCCATGGGACTGCTCGCACAGATCTCCTGGGGCCAGGCGCAGGATCCGAGCAGCTGGGCACGGGGCTCCCAGCTCGGGGCGGCCTCCGCGGGGCTCCCTGCCTGCTCCTCCTCTGGCCAGAATGTGGCCCCTGGCAATGTGCCGCCTCAAGCACCTGCTTGTTTTGCTGGTGCCTGGAGCCAGCCCTGCCCCCCCACATGCTAAACTGGCTTGAGTCTGGCTCCTGACTCATGGCTCTGAGCTCTGGCTTGTCCCCCAATTCCAACCCGTTGCCAATCCCCGAATCCTGTCTTGTGACTGCAGACTCCTGCTCCATCTGCTCTGGCTGCCCACAACCCAGCCCTGCCACTCTCCCATTGAGGCAGAGGAGGAATACAGTGGCTTACAGTTCTGGGCACCCTGAGCCAGCTGTTGCCACAGATGCTCTGAGCAAAGGTTATCCCTTCCCCAAAGACGGCATAACATCTGGGGGAGGGCTGTAGGTTACTGCCCTCTCTTCTCTAGCAGCTTGCCTTCGATAAAAGGCTTTAGAGGCCTATGCCGGTGCTGTGAGGGCAGGAACTCCGGGTGGAATACAGTGGCTTACAGTTCTGGGCACCCTGAGCCAGCTGTTGCCACAGATGCTCTGAGCAAAGGTTATCCCTTCCCCAAAGACGGCATAACATCTGGGGGAGGGCTGTAGGTTACTGCCCTCTCTTCTCTAGCAGCTTGCCTTCGATAAAAGGCTTTAGAGGCCTATGCCGGTGCTGTGAGGGCAGGAACTCCGGGTCATTTAGAGGATGCTCCAAGGAAATGACGCTAGAAAAGGCATCTTCCTCCATGGCCAGGTAGGTTCCAAACTCTATGGGTTGAGTCAAACCTCTATAAATCAGGCAAGGAGGGGAGGCAGCAGCCACTTTTTGAGGTCTTGCAGTCGGTGTGGCTAGTTCCCTGAAAATGGCCACTCAATGCACCGCAGGAATCAAAAAAGCAAACAGATTGCTGGGGCCCATTAGAAGAGGGATAGATATAAGACAGAAAATACCATATTGCCGCTGTATAAATCCATTGTATGCCCTCATCTTGAATTCTACATGCAGGTGTGGTCACTGCAGCTGAAAAAATGAGGGGTATGGAAGAGTTTCCATATGAAAGATTAAAAAATCTGAGAGTTGTCTTCTTGGAAAAGAAACAACTAAAGGGAGTGTAATGGGGACGCTCCAGCGCCCCGCTACGGAGCTGCGCCATCCCCAGCACTGTGGGGAGAGGCGGTTCTCCGGCTGCATCCCCGGCCCTGCTGTGCATGCGCCCAGGCCGGGCCAAACGCCGGAGACTCTGGCCCTGATACACGGGATGCGGCGTCTGCAGCCGGCGGAGGGGGAAGTGGAGCTGGCGTGTGGAGGTCAGGTGACTGGCCAACTGCGGCCGCCCATCATGGACACGCCCACCCAGCAGCGGCTGGGGATTGGGAGGGGGGCTGCCCCGCCCTCCTCTCCCCCCCACCGTCAGACGCTGAGCTGGCGAGACAATTAAAAAGGGCACCGCCGGCTGGAAGAAAGAAAGAGACGGTGGAAGAGATTTTTGGGGCCCGCTAGGCTGGGATACAGCCGGGGAGTGGATGACTGACCGAGGGAGATAGGAAGTGACCCAGGGCGTGGCATAGGATGCCCGTAGATTGGTGCGTTTCGGGTAACTAACCCCCACCAACAGAACCATAGGAGTTAGATCTCTTCGGTTCTTAGGGCCCTGGGTCGGGGCTCAGAGTGGGGGTGGGCCCGAGCCCCCCTACTCCTCCCCTTGCCCGAGGCACCGGCAAGGCGACCAGTTAAGGACTCAATCCATGCAGGATCCCATTTAAGGGACTGACTTCACGCTTAATGGCACATCAGACCGAAGGGCCGTGGGCACTGTCTTGCCTGGGAAGGCAGAACCCCAACCCTGGGGAAAGGGGACTGGGGAGGGTCACGACCAGGCTGGGGAGGGACTGTCACCGCCTGGTCACAGGGAGATAGGATAGAGGTCTATAAAATCATGACTGTTGTGAAGGAAGTGAAGAAAGGAGTGTCATGTACTCCTTCCCATAACACAACTAGGGGTCAACCAATGATATTAATAGGCAGGAGTTTTAAAACAAACAAAAGAAGCATTTCTTCACACAACACGCAGTCAGCCTGTGGAACTCCTTGCCAGAGGATGTCATGAAGACTAGCATTTTAAGAGAATTAAATAAAACCCTAGATCAGTCAATGGCAGATAGGTGGGCAGGGATGGCGTCCCTAGCCTCTATTTGTCAGAAGTTGGAAACAGGATGCCTCTTCTGTAATATATGCCAACACTGAGATGTTGGATGCACATTCAATAGGGGTATTTCTTGTTTGCATATCCTCACCTTCCTCCTTTAGGCGCCTCCTTTCCCTATAGGTTACTTAAAGCCATGACCTTCCCTCATTCATCATACATTATGGCCTTCTTGTGGTTAGTTATCCGTGACTGTTGCTCATGTATCTCTTACATACGTCACTTTGTCGTTCTTGTGGTTGGATTGTTCCTGTGAGCAGAAATTCCCCTGCAAGGCTCTATTTTCAGCTCCCCGACACTTGGGGTTCTGTTGAGTCATTTTGCTGCTCAAAAATCAGAGGCTTTGAGCCT